CACAAAGTTTAAAACACTGGGTCAAAACAGATCCGCTGGAAATGTTCAGACTTTGTTCTATGCTGGCAGGGGAGCATATGTTCAATTGTCTTATTGTATACCTTCTTCGCTCTATGTGGTAAAGGTCACTCCTGTCTAAGGAACCTGCAATTTCAACCCCATTTACCAGGTCATCCAGTTGGTTAGGATCAGATCTAAAATAGCTGATCGCTTTGTTGTCTCTTCCACCTTCTGAACCATGAAATTGTCTGCAAGGCACATGAGGAATTTGTTGCACCTGATAAACTTGGCAGAGTTTGTTTTCTAAAAAATATCAGAATGCTTTACAATCTCTCATTATTACTACAACTCTCCTTTTTGAATGTGTGGTCATCTGTTCCAGGAAGGCATCATCCAAGTCATCGGTGTGGCTTGGAGATCTGTAGCAAATGGCCAGAATGACGTTCAAGTTGTTTCTTTCCCCCTATTTTTTACCCAGATACTCCCAACCTGGCTTTAAGGATTTACACCATGGACCTCACAGGTGTAAATATTCTTTATATACAGTGCTATTCCCCCTCCTTTTCTGTTTTGTCTATTTTTCAGAAATTGATTATACTCCCTCTATTATTGTATTCCTGTCATAAGACTCATCCCACCAGAATGCCAATTATATCACATTTGCATTGTTGTATGTTTCCCATGCTTTGTGTTTTAGTGTAGAGATACCAAAGACTTTCTCTTTGTGGAGTTCTTGTACTTTTCCCCCAGTTCTTTCTATAACAGTAAGACTATTTCCACACAGCTGTATAAAATCCACATTGAATTGGATTATATGGATGTGTGGACTCACATAACCTAATTCAAAGCAGATATTGTGGATTATCGGCCTTGATATTCTGAGTTTATATGTCTGTGTGGAAGGGCCCTAAAAGTACTCTCTGTTGCTCAACTCCTGCTTACTCAAATGATGTCTTCCTCCCTCAGATAACTCAGTTTCAGGTTTGTAAGGCTGTTGGCAAAAACACTGTGAGATGCACCCCATCCTTTCCCAAAACCAGAACTTCATTAAACCTCAGACCATGGTCCAAGAAGCCAAAACATTGCTGATGGGACCATCAGCTATCCTTCTTCTTCCCATGCTGCATCTTTGTCCTGGGAGGAAAGACTACCTGTGCATCAAGGCCCTCCAGTGTCTTATCCATAACCTCATAATCCTGTGTGATCTCCCAAAGACTATGCCTTGCAGTGTTATTGGTTCCCACATGTACAGAAAGGAAATAGTATTGGTTTGTGGGCCTGAAAAGCCTTTTCAGCGCCTCTGTTACATCTCATATTTTTGCTCTAGGGAAAGAACATATCTGTCAAATCATCTTGTCAGGCCCACAACCCACCATACTTGTTCCCCTTAGCAGGAAGCCCCCTACCATCACCACCCGTCTCTTCAGAGATTTGGTGTGGGCCATTTCATGTGCTCACTTTTCCATGGGCACCTGCGTGTTCCCTGAAGACAAGGTCTGTTACGCTTCCTGTTCTGCATCATCGTTGATGCTAGAGAGAACTTTTAATTGATTCTGCAGCTTCAATTTACATAATGATTCTTGATCCTTCTACTTCTGTGTGTAACATTTGTCCAAATGTCTACCTCCTATGTTTGAGGAGTGACCTCTTCAGAGAGATCCCATGTGTGATTGTTCTAACAAGACAGTCTGCTCTGCTGGGTCCAGGGCAACCTCTTCTTCCCTAATACGTTGTAGTGTAGATCCATGAGCCTTGGGACACTAGTCCTTCTCTTCCAAGAGGACCACCAACTTCAAGTATAGCTATCCATATCCTCAGGCAAGAATACAAACATCCCACAAATGTTGCAGGGGACTGCATGAACACCCTCACCATCAATTTTAGCAAAATCAAGTAAATAATTACATAGGGAAATCTGAACTTCCCTTGCAATCCCCTGCCCCACCTCTAAACACTCCTGTTTGTCTTGCTTTGTGTGCTGAGCTCCTGTATGCCAAGCTCTGGGAACTGGTGCTATGGATATATATAGAGAATTAAAGTGGTGAAGTATCTTCTGGGCATTTTAAAGCATGTCAGGAATGATTTTATTGTGTTTTCGAGTATGGCAAGTGGTTGGACTGGATAGTCCTTGTGGTCTGTTCCAGCTCTATGATTCCTTGACTTTGATGGATGGATGGATGGATGGATGGATGGATGGATGGACTGCCTGCATGCAAAGGCTCTTGCTAGGTGAAGCACCCCTCTATGACAGGTATAAGGAGCAGAAATGAAGGAAGGAGCCATGTTGCCATGAAGACATTGTGAGCAGGTCCTCTCAGAGCTTACTTACTTAGGCGATCCCTCGCTGTCCTAGTAGGATAATCCTCCAGGGTGGGTCCGTAGGTGACTACAGAGCCCTATTCTTGATCTGCATCGTCTCCCACAGTGAGGGCATTGGTTTCCAGGTGGAAGGTGGTTCCAGTCGGGGTTGACTTGACACGCCTTCCTCTTGGCACGTTTCTTTCTTTCACCCTCCATTTGTGCCTCTTCAAATTCTGCAGCACTGCTGGTCACAGCTGACCTCCAACTGGAGCGCTCACAGGCCAGGGCTCCCCAGTTCTCAGTGTCTATGCCAGAGTTTTTAAGGTTGGCTTTGAGCCCATCTTTAAATATCTTTTCCTGTCCACCAACATTCCATTTTCCATTCTTGAGTTCGGAGTAGAGCAACTGCTTTGGAAGACAGTGGTCAGACATCCGGACAATGTGGCCGGTCCAGCGGAGTTGATGGCGGAGGACCATCGCTTCAGTGCTGGTGGTCTTTGCWTCTTCCAGTACACTGACGTTTGTCTGCTTGTCTTCCCAAGAGATTTGCAAGATTTTCCGGAGGCAGCACTGATGGAATCGTTCTAGGAGTTGCATGTGACATCTGTAGACAGTCCACGTCTYGCAGGCGTATAGCAGGGTTGGGAGCATAATAGCTTTATAAACAAGCACCTTGGTATCTCTACGGATGTCCCAGTYCCCAAACATTCTCTGCTTCATTCAGAAAAATGCTGCACTCGCAGAGCTCAGGCGGTGTTGTATTTCAGTGTCAATGTTGACTTTGGTGGAGAGGTGGCTGCCAAGGTAGCAGAAATGGTCAACATTTTCTAATGTTACTTTGGCTTGTGGTTGGTCTTAGCTAGTATTAATACCAGGAATTTTCTTGAMCCCAAAAGCTGATGTTTTAAGGGGAAACATAACATTATCCTGWTGCTTTTTGTTTTCTCTGCTTTTGTAAGATAGATCAGTAAGCAACTGTATTTTTGTTTTTATTTAATAAAGACCTTGAAGTCTCAAGGCCATTGCCCAGTTTCATTTCCCCTTCTATCCATGCCACTGTTTTGAAAAGCTTTGCTTTGTTTTTGCTTGTGCTTAATAGAGTTTGATGACAACTACAAGTCTCCCATAGGATTTAATACTGTTGTGTTCAATTATAGACTGAAGGTCTGATTATCAGAAATGCTGCTCAGTCACAGCTGCACTCAGAATGAATGGAAATTGAAGGTGCCATGTCCCTTGAAAATGAGACCCTTGACACCACTCATTTCGTTTAATGACTCAGACTTGACTTGTAGATTGAAGCCAATGACTTTCATAACTCCCCCTGAGTATCCTGCCATGGAAAGTAATGAAGCATTATTGAGCCTGGTATATTAAATTAACTTGTACCTTTGTCACATAACTGAGAGAAATGGGTTGGATTTCAATCTGACTTTGTAACATATTTAAAACTCATACTGAAAAGAAACTCCATGTTTCCACTTTGCAACTGTGACAGGCCTGGTTATGATCCATAGGACCTTCATGTAACAACATGGTTGTACCTCTGTAAGACCTATGATGTTGGAAAGTATGTACATTAATGTTTCCAGTAAATTATATTGTTTCCCATTAGTGAGAGGAAGGGCATGCTTGTGTGAGTTGATCCTCTCATTCACTTTGATAGCCAGGAAAGGGTTTTTGAGAGTTCCTACCAGGAGGAGCAACCCTCAGTCTCATTCCTGCCTTATGCTTCAATAGGATATACACAGCTTCCTTCCACTTCTCTGTGACCCACCTTTCCCAGTAGTTCTAGATGTATATCAGGCGTTTGATACACTGCCATATAAAATCCCGATTATCTGCTGTGAATGGATTATCTGGCATTGTAGAGTCATATAATCCAGTTCAAATCTGATAATGTGGATTATCTGATTATATGACATTGTAGAAAGGGCCTCAGAGAAGAATTCAGTTTTTCTTTCATCCTGTTCACTGACAATTTCCTGCCCATACTTTTTAAATGACAGATTGTGATGTTTTTTTGTTAAATTGAAAGGCTTGAGGACACAAACATTTTTAAAGAAATCATGATTGAACTGCAACTTCCATCAGTTCTAGCTAATGTAATTAATGGGATTCAAATTCACTTCAGTTCAAGCTTATTTCCTAGCTTATATTTTTACTATTTCTGGAAATGGCTCTGACTTGCCTTATACTTTATCTGAAATATTTTATAGTAATAATAATAATAAAACTTTATTTCTAGACCACCCTCTCTCCTTGAAGGGACTCAGGGCGGTTTATACACAAAAGAAGGCAAACATTTAATTCCCTAAATAAGTACAAACACATCAAAAATAATGCACAATACAATTTTGTTACTCTGTTTTATTCTAGAACAATTATGGGAATCATAGTATCCCCTTGTGGTGCAGTGGGTTAAACCCTTGTGCTGGCAGGACAGCTGACCGAAAGGTTGGTGGTGTGAATCCAGGGAGTGGGTTGAGCTCCTATCTGTCAGCTCCAGCTTCCTATGCAGGGACATGAGAGAAGCCTCCCACAGGATGATAAAACATCCGGGTGTTCCCTTAGCAATGTCTTTGCAGTCGGCCAATTCTCTCACACCAGAAGTGACTTGCAGTTTCTCAAGTCACTTTTGACATGAAAAAGAATGATTTTTCACTATTAATATTTTTCTTTTATTTATTTCCTTTTAGCCAGTGAGACCTGCAATGATTTCCACCCAATGTTCTTCACGCATGACAGGTCTTTTGAAGAATTCTTCTGTATTTCCATCCAACTGTTGAATAAGACATGGAAAGAGATGAGAGCAACCTCTGAAGACTTCAATAAGGCAAGATTGTTGGGAACGGAGTATTATGAAATGTCTCCCTTTTTCCTTGGCTTATCATATATACATACATACATATCTATATATATGTATGTGTGTGTGTGTGTCTCTGGGTTAGTTCTGAATGTGATTCAGATGTTTTCGTTTCATGAGATTGTACCTGCTTAAAAATAGATATGAGATAATAATTTGAAAGCATCCTCATACTAGAATTGCTCTGCAGATGGAGAATTTATTTGTTGGAAAGCTGCTTGCTTTCTTCCTAAGACACAAGTAGGTTGTGATTGTACAATATGCCTTCTAGATTGTCTGAATTCCCTTTAGTAAAGAAATAACCACTGTTTACTTAAGGCAACAGTACTCTCTTGTAAAACTTGAATTTTACATCACAGTTTGACACAAAAGAGATAAAACATGGTTTCAGTATTGCTAGTGCTATTTTAGTGTTTTTTTGAATTTCTGAATAACTAAAGGGAAATAATGCAACAATACTTCTATGCGGCATTTCTGTGTGGTTGCAAAGACCATATACTTGTATATTGAACTTTAAGTTTAATATATCCCAATATAATAATAATAATAATAATTATTATTATTATTATTATTATTATTTTTAAAGGATTTAAGGATCGAACTGCAAATACTCTGGCACAAGCCAGTCAAGGTGGTCCCAGTGGTGATCGGCACACTGGGTGCAGTGCCTAAAGACCTTGGCCTGCACTTAAACACAATCGGCACTGACAAGATTACCATCTGCCAGCTGCAAAAGGCCACCTTACTGGGATCTGCATGCATTATTCACCGATACATCACACAGTCCTAGACACTTGGGAAGTGTCCGACGTGTGATCCAATACAACAGCCAGCAGAGTGTCTGCTGTGGACTCATCTTGTTGTGTTTCAAATAATATAATAATAATAATAATAATAATAATAATAATAATAATAATAATAATAATAATAATAAACTTTATTTACATCCAACTCCCTCTTCCCGAAGGGACTCGGAGCAGCTTACAACAAAGAAAATAGAAACAAATAATAATAAACACAGGCACTGTCAAAAATAACTCAATAGCAATAAAACAAGCAAGGCAAACGCAATATGGAAGTATGGATACATTTTGGTTCCTGGGTTGTTTTCAGATGTGTTACTGTAACTCAGGCATGTAGCCGGGGGGGGGGGGGGGGGGGGGGGGGGGGGCTTCACCCCCCCCCCAAATTCTCAGGGTGGTCCGCGAGAAGGCCTTACTGGTACATTATTTAAACTGTTATGTTTATTCATATCATGATCTGATCACCATGCTCAATATGTCCCATATGCATGGGGTATTGGGGTAATGATACAAAAGGTTTGCTAGGGTAGACCCTCTTTCACTCAGACTCAGCCCCCCCCCCAAATCAAACTCAGCCCCCCCCCCCAATCAAAATCCTGGCTACAGGCCTGCTGTAACTGAATTCTCCTCCCACCCCCACAACCCTCAATGCCACTGGAAAATCAATCTCAGAGGAGATTGATCCCAGAAGAGAATATATCATTGAGATCTCACATGAATTATATGCCCTGAAGAGTGTTCTATGAGTTTTTAATTCACATAGATCTTGCTATCTCTTCTGGGATAGCTATGTTTGGTGCCTATGAATGTACTTTGCAAACAGGTTGATTTTGCAAAACCAGATCTGGTAACCAAGCAAACCGATGCAGTAATACATTGCCAGCATCATGTTTTCTTGCTTTCATTCTTCTATTTCTTCACATCATTTCTTCCCAAAGCTAACCTTAGTGCTAGAATTAAATCTTTAACTACCAGCCCAATATATTTTCATATTCTAGTGGGCTGTATTTCTGTGAGTAAGTGAGTGAAGAACATGTGATATAATCCCATATCAGATTTTACTGCAATTACAGTATATTGGATTTTAGCTCCTGGGACCCAAATATCTTCCTGAAAGCTACTCGGCCAATTTTGGTCTTCAATCATAACGGAGGACAGAAAAGCTCCTTTATTAAGTTTTTCATTAATCAAGCTTAATTGTATTTTGTAATCCAGAGGAAGCAGGAGTTTTCAGTCTTCTCAAACTCTTATGCATGTTCGTGTATTCTCGTATGGCATGGCAGTTCTCCTTCATTAGTTTAGTTGCCATTTCCTGTAACCTAAAACTTTTTAAAAACTCTAACTAGGAAATAAACTGATGAAAACCTAGTCTGGTCTCGGTATGTCAAAAATTTCTGACAGTCCACATGTAGTATGTTAACTGTGGTACATCTGACCAAAGTTGTCTTGTGGCTGCTACTGTTACTGTGATGAACTAACAACCCAGATACCACTTATGGCAACCATGTGAATGACAGTTCCAAGAGACCCTCTTATTAACAGTCCTACTCAGATTTTGCAAATGTAGTCCTGGTTTTTTCCTGATTCATCTATCCATCAGTAATACAGTCTTCTGCTTTTCCTACTGTCTTCAACTTTAATACTGTGGTTTTTTTCATTAAATTTGTCACTTTTTCATGAGTATGGTTGTGACAGTGATGTGTACCAGAAAAAGGGACACAATTTCCCATTGCCTATAGTTTAAATTCTTGTTGGACCTCACGGATGTGGCCAAGGAGTGAAATTTTCTTCCATCTTGGATTGGAAGAGAGCTTTAGAGAGAAACCAAACAACACAGAAAAGACAGCTTAATGTTTTATATCCATGATCCTTGTTTTAGGTTTGGAACTTTTGCCCAATATGTCTGGTTATTTTCTTTTAATTTTCATTCTGGAACTCAAATGTAGTTTGGTTTTTGTACTATACCTCAATACTTTATCAGATCATGTACATTTAATGTTTAGGGATGTACATCTTTCATGGATAATTCTGTAATTAAAAGCCCAAATAAAAACAGAGATATTTTCAGTGTGCTGCTTGCATTATGAATGGTTTGGGTTTTTTCTGAAAAGGTAATTATTGCAAGCATTCAGCAAGCCAAAACATATAGATAAAAATGTACTTTTTTGTCGATGAGGACTTGAGTGCCCTGCTCTGCTGTTTTTACCAGTAGAATCTCATTGCAGCCATAGTTAGGGATGAAAAATGGCTCACAGTAAATGACTAATTGTCCAAAAGCAGGATTTTAAAAATGAATAATGCCTTATGCTGCTTTCCCTAAAGAACAATGTCCTACAGTCCATCAACATAAGCTATAAAGTAGGCCATTTGAGGCAGGTGTATTTCATATGCTAATTATAAATTAGGGCTGCAAAGTATAGATGTTCAAGAGAAATACATTCTGCAGTTTAGAGGTCACTGTAACAAAGTCATTGGTGGAAAAAAGAGAAGATAGTCTCATTTTACCTGCCACTTGATTTTTGCAAATGGGAGGTCTCTGTTACTGTAAAAAATAGAGGTTGTTCCTGGTTTCAGAAGCAGAAAAAGGCTAACAAGGTTTTCTAAAGGTAGATGGACTGACTGTAGTGGGTGAATCCTGAGAGTCATGTGTACATAATTCTAAGAATGATCTGTTGATATTCTCAAATTGCTCATTTGATTCATAGACCTTTGTTATTCTGAGATCAATAAATCTCTTCAGTATGGAATCTGCATTGCAAATGCATAGGGTGAAGCATGAAACATAAATAACTAATCATTGAGAATGTATTTGAAGAAAAATAACTGAAATAGAAATGCAGATCCTCACGTTAACTTGGTAGTTGAAAGATGTTCTGTAATTCAGTCAGTTTTAAACTATGAATTTTAAATTTGCCTTTTATTAATATTAATATTTTGATCTTTTGTCTATGAGATAGATTGATAGATAGATAGATAGATAGATACTTCATTTTATCTTTGTAATTTAACTATATTGAGCCATGAGGATAAGGGGATAACAAACAAACTGTATTATTATTATTATTATTATTATTATTATTATTATTAATTATTATTATTATTATTTCCAACAAAACCACCTAAACTTGTATTTCATTATCTAAAATGCAGATGCTTTCTTTCTGATGTTGGTGGTAACTCTTATTTTACAAATATTAACCATTTCAATTATTGGTGCTTTTTCTGGGCTTTTTGCAAATTTGAAAAGTATGTGAAATTAACTGCTACTTTATTGACCTTCTAAAGAATTTATTCAAGGGAAAACAATGAATCTAAAATCGGAGGTGAATTAAAAAATTACACTTTGGTTTCTTAAAATTTGATTCCTTCAAAAGGAATTTGGTGCATTTATGCTATGTGGTTTGCATTATTATGGAGATAATGGCTGGTACAGATACAAGATCAAGGCTAGGTAGATCGGTTGTTGCCAGCGATGGCTGTTTCCTCTGCACCTGATTTATAGCCCTTAGCCCACAGCAATCAGACCACTCTAGGGAGTGGTCTGATTGCTGCAAGTCTTCTCAGCAATTCTACCTGACCTAGGCCTTGCCTGTTGCTCCCTTTGGCATTCTTGAAAAGTAGGAAAAACCAGCAAGCCTTTCTCATCTTCTTCTTCCTCCCAAGCAGACCTGACCATCTGCTCAGAATACCCAGCTGCTTCCTCTTCAGCCTTCTCCTCTTCCAACTCCACCTCAGAGGCAGAAGAGGAAGACATAATAGGCTGGGAGAAGGGGAAGTTGGCAGAGTAACCAGAAATTACTTCCTTATTCTTTTACTTTCCCAAAAATATGTCTGCTCTTTTTCATGATCTCTGTAAATGTGCAGATAGATGTCTTGTGCCCACACAGAGTCATGCTCAGAGTATTCCAGAAATCAACAGATTTTATTTATTTATTTCATATTCTTCTATCCTGCCCTTCTCCCACCCCACCCATAAACTCCAGCATGTATTATTTGTATACCCAAGCTAAAATTCATTGAGTTCTTTCCCCTCTGCTATAAAAGGAGAAGCTTTGAAACATTTCTTCTGTCAAGTGGCTTTGTTGATAGAACTAGTCGAGCTCTTCCCTATCTAGTTTCCTCTCTTTTCTTCTTCAGCCTTTATCCTCTTCTGTTGATTGTGTATGT